GCGTCGTAGTCGATGGAAATGCCGTCATACGTGCAGCTGGACCCGCGGCTGCACCGTTTGTTGTAGTTGCTCACGCTTGGGCCTGGAATGCAATATCAGCAGTGCCTCCTTTGCTGCCGTCCGTGGCTGATCTGCCCTGATTGGCTCCCTCTCTGTCTGTCTGTCTGTCTGTTGACCTGTAATGTGCAGTGTTCCAATTTGCACGCGGTGGGCTGACGGCGTGTTGCAGGCTCCGGCCGATCCCTTGCCGCACCAGCACACGTGGTAGTGGCCCGCTTCCGAGAGAGTGAGGCCGAATGTGAAGCTTTGCGATGTGCTGCTGGATGGGTTGGGCGAGGGATTGGCGTCGATGTCTTCCAGCAGACCGCCTGTGCACGGCACACTGCCTTTTGTCAGCAGCAGGCGGTCGTCTACAGTCAGCTGATAGCCGCCGATCGTGAGGGGCGCCGAAGGACAAAACGTCCCAGCCGCACACAGCACATCCTCACAGGACGTCGACACCAACGAATCACAATACAAGGCCGGACCTGCAGGGAATAAAACTCGCTGCAAAGAGAGGACGGGTTGGTGTCGGACGCCGTCTGAGCTCACCGGCCACATCGAGGAGACCTGCGAATGTGCCAAAGTTGGTCATATTGGTGCAGTCCGCTTCGTTGGGGCACCTGGAAGGTAATCATCAGTGTACGAACGAAGCGGACTGCCTGTCTCTTGCTCACTCACCAGCATATCTTGTACCGATTGCCCGGCAGCTTCGTGGTCATCGCATATGTGTAATTTCCTGTGCCTCCGGTGGTCAATGCTGCATCTGCCCTGGTGCCTTTCGAAGCGATGGTGCATCCAGAGCCCACCGTGCATGACGTGGGGACAGCCACATCAAGCTCAGCAGGTGGGCTGGGCCCCTTAACCGTCAACACGCCCGCGTGAATCTTGAAGCCTTGGTGTGTGCTTGGATCGCATGCCTCAGTAGAGGAGCCCCCGCACCTGCAAGCGAGGACAGAGACGCCAATAGGGAAGTTCCGGAGGCCAAACTGATGCCAGACACAGCCATGTTTACCAACACAGGTCAAAGCTTCCACCGAATCTTGCCACGCCGAAGTCATATCTGTCATACTTCCCGGTTGTGTCGCCCTCCTGTGTTCCCGCGATATCGTCATTGCCTTCGAACAGCCTCATAGGACGGACGGCGATCGGGGGAGTACACGGGCTCGCAGATTTCGCAGAGACCATTATCGTATCGTGTTGGCCCATCGCCACATCTAGCAGAACTGGAGCAATACACACCGAAGCTGAATTGCGTGGCGCATGTTGCGCTAATTAACCTGTGAAGCCAATCGACAGCTGGCAAGCCATGCTTGCAACGCACTTCATTTCGGGGTACTCGTTGTCCGCCGGACCTGCAATGAAATGCAAAGCCGAAATCTTACACGTTCGAGGTCCAGAGCAAGCTGTGTGTGGTGTTTACTTACCTCTGAGTGTGATGGTGCCCGTCGTGACAGGGAAGTCGGCAGGTGTCGCCCCGTTGGCGAGGGCGCAGTTGGCGCCTTTGCCGCAGAAGCACACGTGGTAGAGAGCGCTCGCTTCGGCCAGTGTATGTCCAGAGCCCATTTGGAAGCTGAACTCGGCCACGTGTGGTGGATTGAGATCGGCGCCTTTGGCTCCCGTGAGGGAGGGGATTTCGTCGAACAGCGCCACGAACTGGCCAGGTGAGGTGGCCGAACAAGGCTGGTCCATAATTGCAACGTGGTAGGCCTCGAAGCATCGTGGTCGACTGGCACTCGATCCACTGTGCAGCTCTTGCCGCGTGTGCACACACCTGTGTGGCTGTCGGTCGTCGGGCCTGACCAGGGAGGGACCCCCATGATCCACACAGCCAGCCGTTCAGCGAGCCATCCAGGTGGCGGTCTGTCCCTCGTGAGAAGGTGTCCGTGCGTGTGGGCACATACCTGTCAACCTCAATTCACCCACAGTGACTCCGAACTCGGCCATGTCGGTCGTGCAATCGGAGCCGGTCCCCTTGTCACAGAAACACATGTAGTACTCGCCATCGAGGCCGCTCGTCGCCGGCCGCTCTATTGGCGGGGCGCCAAGAGCGAACTCGTATTGACCGCCGCTCTCTGTTCCGCTCTGTGAGGGGTTGTGAGCGAAGGAAGGCGATACCAGGCCCGCCCCCGCCGACCCGCATGGGCCGTCGAGGATGGCAATGTGAAAGTCCACGTTCGAAGTGCCGCCCTTGATCTCAATTCCCGACACCGTGCAACTCGCCGCCCCCAGCGGACAAGACGACAAATAGTCATTCCTCTTGGGACCTGACATAAGTGTCAATGACCAAGTTCGAAGGCAGATCAGCTTACGTATGTCATCACGTCCTTCACTGACCTGTAATGGTGAGTTGTCCCCCATAGACGTTGAACATCTGCAGCTGTGATGCTGGGTCACATGAAGTCCCGGTGCACCTTTACAGAGGAAGAAAAACACAAAGCCGTTGACGTCCGCAGCACACCATAGCAAGTTCCTGGGTTTGCGCTGACCAGCACAGGTAGAAGGACCCTCCATATCTCGCCTCGCCGAGTGAGTATGTCCCTGAAATTTGCCTGGCGCTGTCAACCTTTGTGTCGTTTGGGTCGTTTGCCATATCAATGAAGAGGTCTGTCACAGCGGTGCCGCTCGCCGCCGGGCTGCTGAGGCTGCACTGCGTCGTAGACACGACCACAATGTCATCGTGATCGGCCAGACCTGAGGGTGAGCACACAAGATAGACACGAGCAGGAAAGGTCGGGCGGAGCAGACAAAGCACATCAACACGGCAGAGTGAATGGAAGATGTGTGAGAGAGACTTTCTATCACTTCTCCCCGGCGTGTCACCTGTGCCCTGCAGGGTAGCTGAGCAGGGCCGTCCAGCAGCACATTCAGTGTCAGCCTTCCCATAAGGGCCTGCACCCACGAGCGCAGACTTTGATGCACGTACCCGTTTGACGTGGGTCATGTGTCTCTTCTTTGGTTCCCTCATCTCGTCCAGGGAGCATGCCTTGGGATATAACAAAGGTCACGTACCATTGATATGAAGTGATCCTGCGTGGATGTTGAAGTCGGCCAGATCAGCACTTTCTTGGTTACAGGATGGTCCCGCACACCTGTGAAGACATATCCTGGGTTTTCCATTTGGCAGCCGTTTTGTTGGGAAGTACCAGCAGAGCGAGACGGCCGAGCCCCGATATGCCCTGCCGAAGTCGTAGTCAGATTGTCCGCCGCCCGACATCGCAGATGCCGTGGCGAAATCGACCTTCGTATCGTCACCTTCGAATAGGTCTAGAAGCGGTGTCGGAGGGCTGGCATGGCTACACTCAGTTGAAGAAATGACCATCTTATCATCGCTCGCAAGACCTTTCCGCCGACAAAATAGAAGGTGGCACTAGAGCTAGTGACACTCACTTCACAACTGCCTTACCGGTGCCATTTATGGAGACAGTGCAGTCCTTCCCACTGTCGCAGTCGACCTTCGCCTTTCCGTCCGGGCCTGCTCTCATATTCCAACGACACAGAGGATAGAAGGTACCACCCTTGTACAAAAGACACCCGGCAGTATCTTACCTTTAACAGTCAGAAATCCTGCGGAGAGGCTATATTGTGAGAGATCCTGAGCGCTGCAAGCAACAGCTGTGCCCGGGTTTGGAGCAGCGCACCTGCACAGGGACACTCACAATTGTGACTGCTGAGTGTCCTTCGGACACCATCGTCGGCAGGTCTTTATCTCCTCGGCAGCAAGTTTTGTTTGTCTTACCAACAGAGATGGAACTGCTGGCCACCAAATCGTGGCTTGGCGCTGCTGAATCGGAATGTCTTTTGTTTCGACGAGCCGCCGGAGACGGGCAGGGCCATGTCCTCTGTGCCGTTGGCGAACAGGCCCAGGGGGTCCACAAACTCAGGACTGCTGCATGGCGTCGCAGATACCATGAGACTGTCGTAGTCGTCGAAGCCTACAGACACAAGAGATTAGTGACTGGCAATGCCCAGTCCGTCCGTCGTCTGCTGCCCCTCACGCCCTCACTGACCAGCTCCATTGATTACAATCGGGCAGTCCATGGCGGCCTCACATGTCAACGTCTCATTGCCAACGGGACCTGTCAGGACATTTTATTGGCTTGCACATGAGGATGCGGAAAGCTATGTGTGGTGTTTACTTACCTCTGAGTGTGACGGTGCCTGTGGTGACAGGGAAGTCGGCAGGTGTCGCCCCGTTGGCGAGGGCGCAGTTGGCGCCTTTGCCGCAGAAGCACACGTGGTAGAGAGCGCTCGCTTCGGCCAGTGTATTTCCAGAGCCCATTTGGAAGCTGAACTCGGCAACGTGTGGTGGATTGAGATCGGCGCCTTTGGCTCCCCTGAGTGAGGGGTTTTCGTCGAACAGCGCCACGAACTGGCCGGGTGAGGTGGCCGAACAAGGCTGGTCCATAATTGCAACGTGGTAGGCCTCCGAAGCATCGTAGTCGACTGGCACTCGATCCACTGTGCAGCTCTTGCCGCGTGTGCACACACCTGTGTGGCTGTCGGTCGTCGGGCCTGACCAGGGAGGGACCCCCATGATCCACACAGCCAGCCGTTCAGCGAGCCATCCAGGTGGCGGTCTGTCCCTCGTGAGAAGGTGTCCGTGCGTGTGGGCACATACCTGTCAACCTCAATTCACCCACAGTGACTCCGAACTCGGCCATGTCGGTCGTGCAATCGGAGCCGGTCCCCTTGTCACAGAAACACATGTAGTACTCGCCATCGAGGCCGCTCGTCGCCGGCCGCTCGATTGGCGGGGCGCCAAGAGCGAAGTCGTATTGACCGCCGCTCTTTGTTCCGCTCTGTGAGGTGTTGTGAGCGAAGGAAGGCGATACCACGCCCGCCCCCGCCGACCCGCATGGGCCGTCGAGGATGGCAATGTGAAAGTCCACGTTCGAACTGCCGCCCTTGATCTCAATTCCCGACACCGTGCAACTCGCCGCCCCCAGCGGACAAGACGACAAATAGTCATTCCTCTTGGGACCTGCTCGAGAATGCATCACAGACGTAGATCATGGTCACCGCCGGCTCAGACGCAGATCATGGTCAGTAGCACCTCTGATTTTGAGGGTTCCTACTGTGAATGGAAACCCTCCCAACACTTGGGCCGTGCAGGTCGACCGGGGACTCGATCCGACCCAGCTGTCGCAAAAGCACAACTTAAATGTCCCGCTCGCCGTGAACTTGCCTAGGGGGAAGTCATAGCCTCCGTTCGTGTCGCCTTTCTGTCCTGTCTGGGGGTTGTGATCGAATCCGGAGACCAGGGTCCCGGGAGCACTGGATGAGCAGTCCCCATCCATCACCGCGATGTGAAAATCTGTGGAAGACTCGCCCCCCATTTCCACGCCGGATAGACTGCAGCTGGCGGCACCAATTGTGCAGACAGCGGCGAAGTCGGTATGTTTGGGGCCTAGCACAGGAATGAGGACAAAGATGGCCATAGATGCCTGCGGTGGTATGTAGTTGGCATACCTCTCACGGTCAGGTTGCCAGCATGTATGAGGTAATTGTGAACGATGTCTGCCGCACTGTTTGGGCAGTAGATCCCAGCTTGATGTCCTCCGCACCTGCAAGTGCAAACGCAGAGCCATCGGTGAAGGGGCATGCCCATAGCATACGCGTGACATGAGCTCACCAACACAGGTCAAATTCTCCACCATGCAGCGGTTTTTCGCCCCAGTCATATTTCTCTTCAAGGGCGTTTGCGTACGGTTCACCGGCTTTCCAGTCGATCCACGGCAAACCGCCAAGTGAGCCGCGTCAAGTGTCCCACTCCCCTGTCTTGTGGAACCAACCTATGTCAGTGTTGGGAGGGAAGAGAGTCCTAACAGGTCTGGGTGCGGCGCATGGCCTGGCGCCATTCTGCTCAGCAATGATTATCGAATCCATGATGTCGAAGCCTGAGCCGAAGAAATGGACACAACTGATATAGATAGCTAGACCCTAAGTGATCTATCTGCACACCTGTCCCCTCGATGGTGAAGAAGCATTCTTGTCCGAGAGAAAACTCGAAGACTCCCAACCCGTCAGGGCCTTTTATCAGGACGCCAGTTCAGCGAGAGACAGCGGATGTTAACAATGTGCAATCAGGGTTTTTTCCTTCATCCTGCTCTCCCTCATGTACCGTCAATCGCCATGCCGCCGGCAAGTGTGTTGAAGTCCAAAGTGCCGACATTTGTCGTGAAGCTCTCCAAATCGGTTGGAGTGCATGGGCCCTTGCACCTGTGCAAAAGATACAGAGAGAAGACACCAGATGCAAACTTTCTTTTGGCGCGACAGTTCTATCTTGCCACACCAGCACAAGTAGAAATGCCCGGCGTATTGCGATGTTCCGAAATTATAGCTTTGACCACTCCCCCCTGATGCCCGTGCGTAGTCGATCAGCGTGTTGTTGGGATCATTAGGATCGCCAAACAGGTCAGTGACGGGAGTGGTCGGAGGATCGTCCGGGCCGCAAAGTGTTGTGGAAATTAGAATGGTATCGCCGTCCTGAATGCCTGGAAAGTTTGCAGAAGATACATGGGAGCTACCAAAAGTTCTACTCATACCATGGCCATTGATAGTTGCAGTGCAGGTTTGCCCCACATCGCAGTCGGCATTCGCCTTTCCGTCAGGACCTGAATGATTCGATAAATCGCAGAGAATCCGATCCTATTCGTCCTGTCCTGCCACTCACTCAGTTCCTTACCAATCACAGTCAGCGATCCTACTCCTATATTGAAACTGACCCGATTATCACACGCTTGAGTGCCCGGGTTCGGAGCAGCGCACCTGCGCAGAGACACTCACAATTGTGACTGCTGAGTGTCCTTCGGACACCATCGTCGGCAGGTCTTTATCTTCTCGGCAGCAAGTTTTGTTTGTCTTACCAGCAGAGATGGAACTGCTGGCCACCAAATCGTGGCTTGGCGCTGCTGAATCGGAATGTCTTTTGTTTCGACGAGCCGCCGGCGACGGGCAGGGCGATGTCCTCTGTGCCGTTGGCGAACAGGCCCAGGGGCTCCACAAACTCAGGGCTGCTGCATGGCGTCGCAGAGACCATAAGGCTGTCGTAGTCGTCGAAGCCTACAGACACAAAAGATTAGTGACTGGCAATGCCCACGTCTGTCCGTCGTCTGCTGTCCCTCAGGTCCTCACTGACCAGCTCCATTGATTACAATCGGGCAGTCCTTGGCGGCCTCACATGTCAACGTCTCATTGCCAACGGGGCCTGCGAAAGACGTCACAAAACCCTCTTCCAATGCACCTGCTCCGCAATGGCTTTGGTGTGTGTAGTGTTTTTTGTCTTATCATAGGGACCTATGACTGTCAGAGTTCCAAGAGGGAGCGTGTACTTCTGTTTGATTGTCGCCTCCTGATCAGTCGGAGTCGCACACACCTGGCCGTTTGTTGTCTGTGGGCACCTGACTTGCGCATCATTAGACACTCTTTCCAGCATCACTCCAGATGCTTTTATTGCATTCCCACCAGCACAAGTCAAATTCTCCACCTTTCCGAGGGGTGCCAAAGGAGTACTTGTCCGGAAGACTTTGTAGAGCCACAATATCAAACTCAGTCTGGGGATCAAGCAAGTCTGACACAGGGCTCGGGGGATCGCATGGTGGGGTCGTGGGACTTTTTTCCGACACAAGAATGGAGTCCGCCGGGTCAAAGTCTGCCATCGCACATCATCACAACAGACGATTTCTGATTCATTTCGCATTCAGTGCTCCGCGCCTTACACTCTCCGGCAACATTGACTGTACATTCGCCCACAATCTGGCAAGGTACACACAAAAGACGTGACGCATCCAGGTGTATCTGCCTCTTGCTGTGGCAAAGAGGAGCTCTCCAGAAGATTAACCTGGCAAAAAAAGTTTTCGTCACCCGTTGGACCTGTGAGACGACGGCATCATCGCAGGCAAAAAGCCCATAGGAGTTTCAAGGCTTTCTTACCTTTCACCTCCAGGTTTCCAACTTGCACGAAGAAGTCTTCTTCATTCATACAGTCGCTGCCCTCGCCACAGAAACACACATGGTACTTCCCAGGGAGCGCCAGTGTGTTTCCCATATCGAAGTCGAAGGGTGCGACGTTGGCAGCTGTGTCGGTGCCCTTGACGCCCACCAATGAGGGATTGTGTTCGAATCCGTCGACGAACTT